AATTCTGATGGTACTAATAACAGTGTGATTATATATCCGTTCACAGTGTTTAATGTTAAACCAAGAACTGACATCAGCGCAATCGGGACATTTCCATAAGCACTATGTCTTCATCTTCAGCAGCAACTGCAGAGTTCTAGTTCCAATAAAACCACTAACAGTCTGATTGTATTTCTGTCTCAACTTTCCCCCCTGAGTGCCAATCCTCGGCCAGATCCCCTGGTCCCGCGTCACAGCACCATTCTCCTTCGACCGTGATGATCCATCTGTGCTCCGTACTGTTCACTTGCTCCCAAAGGTTTCTTACAACATCTAGCACTGTAGAGATGGCACATATTATTAAATTAACAAAACAGGACTGAAGTTATGTGCTTGACAAACGTGCGATCTACAGATAAGGTACATTTATTTGGTTTGGCAGGGGGAAATTACATACAGACATATAAGGTTCAAAGATGCAAACAGTGAGAAACAGAGAATGAGGAGCAATACAGACATTCATAAAATGTTTTAAATCACCATTGATTACTGGCATCATGAAGGCTAATAGACTGAAATGGCTGGGGTATATTAAAAGAATGTCTTGACAACAGATAGGTAAAAACTGTATACACAAGGGAGCTGAATGGTTGTAGAGCTCGAGGCAGACCAAGAAGACGGTGGAGAGATAATATTCAGACAGACCTACAAACACTTGGTGTCACCAACTGGCAAGAGAAGACCAACCAGACAGATGACTGGAAGCCGGTGATATCTGCATCAATGAACCTCAAGGGTTCCAAAAGAAAAAGATATACAAGGTGGAAAGTAATGCACACAGATTTCCTCTTACAGCCAATGTCATGTGATATTGGAAATCATGAATGCCTACATTCTTTGAGCACTTCCAATAATTTCTCACACAGATTTTCTTCTATGCTCTGATGCTAAACTGTCTAATATTTTATCTCTTGGTCTTCTGCAACCTCTCTTCCCCTCCAACTTTCCTGTGAGATGCTCTTGGCAGGCAGAAGCCATTCTGTGGACACAGACTGAGCCATATGAGATCAAACCTGCAGCAATAAAGTTTATCCTCCGAACTGTCCATAGTGGTCTCACCAAATATACAAGTTGGAAAACACATAGTTATATAAGATAATTGTTATAAAACAAGGAAACCATAGCTTGATGATCAACGCCCAAGGTATAGTCATGTGAGAAAGCAGGCTTTGTAAAATGTTGGTTTGTGGCAGCTCTAGGTTTCTGGATAGGCAACACTGTTTATGTCAGACCAGATCAGGAGAATTCAAATTATTCACACCAAGAAAAACAAGTCCAATCATTTATATATGGGAAATAAGATGAATAATCTGTAAATACATAATCCCATCAAACGACTTATACATGGGAAACAAATAAATGCTACAAAGAAAACATGTCAAATGATTGCCACACAGAAAACATGTCAAATAAATGCGACACAGAAAACATATCGAATGACTGCTACACAGTCTACTCTGATCTGTTGTAACTGCTGCTTCCACCTATAACTGCATTTCTAGTGCCAGACTGTTTGTCTTGGCACTTCTGATGGCTGCCTTTTCCAGTTAATGTGTTTAATTATATGCTATCAACATTGCTGAGACTGCCGGATGCTTTTGTCGGTCTGTTTTCAAGGAACAGTGACAGACATGCTGTGTGGATTTCACTGGCACAGGATCAAAGCAACGATGGGGTGGCCCGTTTGCTATGAAGCTGGAAATTAACCTACATGAGAGGAAGCTGCAGTATGAGATGAAATTCTTGAAATCAATTTTTGGTTTTGTCAGAAGGGTCTCTAAACAAAACATTATAGGAAGACTATTATATGAAATGTGATTAAGGAAGAACAGCTCTTGGCTTTTACAGATGAGAAAGAAACAGAACCAATGTAATGCGAAGAACTAACACAGAACAAGTAAACAAACAATTATTTATTGACACTGCAGCTCAGAAAAAAAAAAGATGTAACATAAGTAAAACAATATTTTGTGAAAATATATATTACATTCTATAAGATGAAGAGCAATTTGATAGGGGGTAAAACCCATTAAAAATTTCTAGCAGTAAACACTTGTCAGCTACAACATGTCTCTACTTGTCCCCCCCCCCCCTTACCCCCCAAATGTAAGAGATAACAGTGTTATATCCATGAGTTATACACCTGTAGTTATACATAACATTAGTGATAATTCTAGCAGTAAATACACATCATGTATAACATGTCCCTCCTTGCCCCATAACATGTATGAGATAACAATGTTATATCTACAAGTTATTTATAAAACAATATTACATCTACTAATTATATATCTTGCAGTTAAACATTACGCTAATGATAATTATAGCAGTAAACACATATCAGGCATCACATGTCCCTCCTTGCCCTAGATGTTAATGAATTATACAATAATGTGACATCATTATTACATCTTATATGTATTTAAACATGACATTAATGATAATTCCAGCAGTGAATACATGTCAGATGTAGCACAACCCCTCCTAGCCCACAGACATGTCAGAGATAATGTTACACATCTTGTAGCCATACGTAGCACTAAAGATAATATCAGATGTAGCCCACCCATTCTTGCCCCACACTTATAAAACACTACGTCTACAAGTTAACATCTAAAACAAAAATGATATATACATGACTCGAGAGTCACCGTGACGTAGTAGCTAGATGCTTCGTGCGGATTAGAAGGTCGTGGATTCACTCCCTGGTGGAGCCGGACTTAAAAAAATGACCTTGACTCCCAGGTCGACCCAGTCTTGAGTGGGTACCGGGTGCAGTCCCAGAAAGTAAAGGCGGCCAGTGTGATGCTGACCACATCATCCATCTTGTGCCAACTGGTCTATAAAAATATAGGTCTAGCCCTATATGCCTGAAGGCGTGGAAAAGGGTCCTTTACTTTATACACCCGGCTCAAATAGGACAAGAACAAATGTGTTTATAGTTGGATAAAACATACAACATAAGAATGAACTTTATTTTTTAAAGAGCTTGAAAATTTGGCACTCAGGCACTCTCATACCTTCATATACAAGTACATTGAAGTATACATACAAATCCGCTTACACACATGTATAAATACATATACACATAAAATTATAGATGTTTCTATCTGATATATTGTAAATTAATCAAACCAGTGAAGACATTTTGTAAACCCTATAGGTAATGAGCTAAATGCTTTCCTAACAATAAAACTTGGTGTAATATTTACTATTACTAAAGCAACCAGAAATTACAAACTTTATTCTGTTCAAATAAGACTAAATTATAATAAATGCAAGATGTGTGCAAATAATTTATGATACAAGTGTCAAACATGGAATTTTACTACAATGAATGAATATAAAATCATAACAATGGAGATTAGATGTCTTAGAAGAGCCAATAAAGTTACATTTGGAGATTCAATTTAAAATGAAGAAATTAGAAGACTAGACTTGAAACCAGTCACACAGTTTAATGAAAAAGCAACATGTGAGATGGTTTGGTCATATTTGAAAATGCCCTGGTACCAACTGCCATATTTAAGAAATACAATGGATACAGGGCAAACAGCACAAATAAGACAACACAAAAGATGGAAAGCCTGCAAGAAACATAAATCTGAAATACATTTTACAAAACTTATGGACCACATTAAAAAACCGCAAAGAAGATCCTGACTTCTCCCCCCTCCCCCAGACACTATGATGAGGTAACTGGAGAAGTAGAAGATGAAAAAGAAGTACTGCTGGTTTGCTCGTTTATTATCTTTTACTCCAACATAGCCAGGGAATAGATCAAGGTGTGGAAGGTTAAGTGCAACTTCCGAATACTATCTACCTATTCTGTTGCAATTTTTTGAAGCATGTTCAAGGAGTCTGATAACATTACCACATGTGTGGTTGCTTACTCTATTGCCCCTACAAGTGCTCCATAAGCAGCTGTTGAAAACTGGACAAGGAAAAAAACAAATGCTTGCTGCCTACTGGCTAAATAAACTCGGGACACTCCTATAAGTGCTCAGTCCCCGATCTTCAGCAGCAAGCGAACAGTTCCAATTCCGATGGTACCAGTAACCATCTGATTGTATATCCGACTCATCCTTCCCCTGAGTGTTGAGCGTCGGCCAGATCCCCTGGCAACTCCTTGCAGCGCCCTTCTCCTTAGACCACAATGATCTATCTGCACCTCCTCACTGTTCACTTGCTCCCAAAGGGCCCTAGATGCATGCCTTAGATAGTCCTGATCACAGCCATTTTACTTGGTGCACAGGACAAGATTTACCAGATTTTAGTTTGTACAAAATTTTTTTTACCAGGATCTTTCATTTATTTCTTTTCCTTTTTTTATCTGTAAATTAAATATTGCACATTTGTTAGCTGTCACCTTCTGTGACTGGAATTCTGTACTGTATTTTTTCGAAAATAAAATTTCCCTGATAACTATTGTAGCCTGACAGATTAGTTTTTCTAGTGTGATTTCTGGAGGCTCTTTTGGGGAGAAAAGAACAGACCTACTGCTACCTAACAAGCACGTCCTTAAAGGTGACTACTTAGAATTTTGCTGAAAACAGATGTTTAGGAGCAGATATCACAGCCTAGCTGTAAACCACAAAACAACATGTTAATCACCCATTTTAAGGTGAACGCAGAATAAAAAGAAAAAGAGAGCCCAGTTAAAGGAGCTTCTACTCAAAGGAACTGCTACCTGGAACGGCAACAATCACTGGTGGTGTGAAGTTCTTTGGGGAACTATGAGTTTCCTGTGATTTATGGCTTCCTTGGGAAAGTACAGTAAAACAAATGTTGAGTTGCTGTCTAATCAAGTTTTAGATACACCTGGTAGAAATATATCAACACTAGAAATTGTATACAATACATGAAAATCACATACCCTGAATCAAGGAAAGGTTAGAGCTATGGTTACATATCACAGTAAAGACACAGAACTGTTACCACTTCTAAACAAGCCGATTCCCTCATCCCTCAGACTCATTCTTGTTCTGGTCAACCTCTTCAGAACAACCACCCTTCACCTTAACTGGAACCATCAGCCAGTCAGATATGCAGAAATCTGTGGAGACTGAGCCTGATTTAGCCCATGCAGAAGATGCTAAATCCACCGCACTGATGCAGCCTTTCTTCTGCAGCCAAAGACTTGTCTCTGGTTTGTCATCTTTAGAATTATCAGAAGGACACTGGTTCTTACCAAGTTCAGGGGAAGACTGTGTGTTTGATTTCATCAGCCACATAGAGTTACCGGCACTGGGTATATGACTGAACAAATCAAGGCCTTTCTTTTCTGCAACAGTAGTGGATGAGCACTTGACCAGTTTCTGAGATACTGTCAGTGAAGGCCAGGAGCTTGATGCCACGGATGCAGGTCTGAAGGAAAGAGCAGGATCTACAACAGCTCCCACTGGAGATTTATCCTTGAAGCACGGCCTGAAACAATCAGGTTGTGAGTTGCACTTGGATGCCTTGAAACAGACATCACTGGACTGGCAGATATCCTCCAGCTGGAAGGAAGGATCACTTGCCACACTGCACAGCAACCACTTTCCTTCATCTTCGCTAGTGCAGCTGCTGCTGCTACAACCACTGCGGTTCGTACGACTGGCCCTGTCAGACTGTACACTTTCATGTTCAATTTCAGCTTGAAATGCTTTGTTCTGAGGGAGAAAAATGATGAACACATTAAAGAATGCAACATTTCCATTAACATTATGAACACTAGGCATGGCTACACCAGTGGTGGTGTAGCTGCCATATGCTTGCCGGCTAGCTTAAAGGTCTTGGGTTTAAATCTGCATCAAGTCGAAATAAAATAAAAAAAAGACCACAGCTCCCAGGTCAACTCATCTTTAGTTAGCTAGTACGTCAACAGGTTCTCCTCCCTGCTCATCAAACCATTCAGTCCACCAGTGTTCAGATCCCCTCTCTCCTCAGTAAATCCTGCAGCATTTAGCAGCTGACGATACCAGTCCTGTGTACGTTTCTTATCTTTCTTTGGCTTCCTGTAAAGTGCTCCTGTCTGACCAAACCCCTTTCAACATGTTGTGTTCTTTCATTCTGGTCATGGTTGCAGATTGAAAGTCATCACTTGATTCTCGCAAACTTCTTACTTCTCATAGAGCATTCAGTATATCAGATGGGCCTATGGCACATCCGTCCTTCATATAGATTTACCTACAAGCCTATCACAAAATTACCGGCAAGCCTATTAGCTCACTAGAAAGGTTAACACTCTTGACATCCTTAATAGGTTACAAGACAATGGCATAATTACTGTAATTCCTATCACTTTTAAGGTTTCCATCCGAAGCCCCCTTGTACATCAGGTGTCTGGTAGTCTTAGTTTCAGCTTCATAGCAAACGGGTCACCCCATCTTTACTTCGCTCCTGTGCCAACGAAAAACACACAGAATGTCTATCACAGTCGCTTGTGGAAAGATTGACAGACTGCTGACTCAGCATATCTAGCATACACTCGCATTAAAGCATACAGTAGTCATCCGAAGTGCTAACACAAACAGTCCGACATTAGAAATGCAGTTCATCACTGATGGTAGCTGAAGTTGCCAACAGATCAGCAGTTGCCCACGCGATCACATACGGGCATCACCAACATTGCACGACAGGCATCACACCATTTTCTGAATCTACAATTCACTCCACCACGTTGGTCACAGTCGAAAAAGCATTCCAAATGTAATCCGCAGCTCACAGTGTCACACCATGCATTCAACTCAGAAGCTGGGAGACGAAACTATATCCAGTATACAAATGGAGCAAAAATGCATCGGCCACCGTCAGGCAGAAGCAAAAAATGTGCCTCTGCTTTGAACAGTGCCGCTGCCTAGCGTCCATTTAGACATCAGGTGTACAACTGTACAGGAAGACAGATGGAGCACAGTGCTTCTGATCTGACTACTTCTGCAGCATGCTTTGTTCCAAAAGTAAGATGTTACCTTTCTTTTGGAGTAAACAATGAAGGCTGAGAAAGAAATGGTGCTGCATGGGCAACACCTGGTCTCTACAACACTGCCCAGGTTTTGTGCTATGGCAAGATGAACTCTGTCCCTAGCCTTAACTGGTCTTTGCCATGGCAGTGATTCCAATGCCTCCCTATAACACAATTTAAGGTGCTTTCTTAATATCCTACCCAAAACAGGGGAAATCCACAGGTCACGGGACAGTCTAATATTTCAGGGGTGGTAGATAGGCTGCATGCAGTCATAAAACCTAGTCTGCACTCTCTCGGGGGACATAGGTGGTTTGGGGTTAGGGCCAGTTCTAGATGTTTTGGAGTCATTAAAAGCCAGGAAACCCAGTCTTACCACCCTCTAAATTGCTGGACTGTCCTGTGACGTCATCTGGGGTAGGATATTATGAAAGAACCCAATATAACACTATCATCTGCAATGGAAAGGCACCAACAACTAATGTAAATTACATTAAGAACGGGTAAATGATGGTCTACACTTACACACATGGTCTGCCTGATGTGCAATGCAATAATTTATGGAGTAGCTAACTAAGCAATCATGCACACAACTAAGTAACACACAGAGGGATACCAACGAACATGTTCCCTAACCACACAACACATTCTTGCCTCCCATCATAACAAAGCCTAACCTGTGCTTGCAGACATTCTTCCTTGTCTTGTGTGGCCATATCATGAGAATCCCCTCCATCGTGGGCTGCTAGCTGCTGACACTCCGCCTGTGAATGCAACCATGTGGAAAGCTCACTGCTGATATCCTTGAAGAAGTCCTGATGCTTCAAGTCATCAAGGTTGGTTTCCTGCTGGCAGGTCTTGGGCAGCCAAAACTGTAAAAAAAAAAGACAATTATCTCAGACATGCTGTTATCCCTGTGTACACAAAAGAGGTTGTGGTATTCAGTATGGCAGGTAGCGTGTCTAAGTGTGGGATGATGAAATACCTTATGTAATAATTTTGCTTGTGTATGGCTAACTTATCCTGACTGACTACTTCCATTAATGATAAACCACATTTCTGGGGACAACTGTTGGCCTTGGTGCCTCTAGCAACTGCCCTGAGCATTTGCAGCATAAGCATATTTCTGTATTGTGCTGGGATTAACTTTTTGTTAACAAGCTGTTTGATGTTTTTAAATATGAAAGAGTGAGGAATATTTCATTTGATTTTCACTGGCAAAGAAACAGAGCATGTATGGGGTGACCCAAATGCAGCGAATCTGAAACCTAAACTACTACTACAAATAAGACTGAAATGGAAGCAGACCACGAGGCAGACCAAGAAGAATGTGGAGAGATAATATACAGGCAGACACACAAACACTTGGAGTCACCAACTGGAAAGAGAAAGCCAATTACAGAGATGAATGGAGGTGGGTCATATCTGCAGCGGTGAACCTAACCTAAAGATGCTGAAAAAGAATGCAGCTATTCAAGGCATAAAAGATATTCTACGCAATCTTTTTTAATTAGGTGAGAAAAAGAGCTCTCCGGAGCTATGAAGTGCCAATCCTGACATACAGATCCAAACCATGGACAGGTAACAGATTACTGAAAACTGCTGGGGAGAGTAAACAAATTATTTTTATATAAGAATGATGAGAATATCATGGACAGATTTTTAAAAAAAAAACATAATGAAGAAGTTTGGACATACTGACAGATATAAACTCACAGAGAGATCTAATTACTTGCATCAGAAGAAATAAAATCTATAATTTTTTAGCATGTTGAACACCAGAGTATGAAATGACAACATGAAACTCAGAAAGAAAATGCACAGTTTGACAGCAAAGAAAATTCACATCAGACAGGAGTGACAGTACTTCTTCTCCACCTGCCCTTAAATGGGTGACTGATACATTGTGGTCTTCCTATCCAGGGGCATCAGAACCCACAGGGGGATGACGGTTCACAAACAGAAGGAGTATAAGAAGGCGAGGCCGCAATCACTTCCATATGTGACCCTCACACCACACTCTTAGTTAGTTAGTTGGGTTATCATTATTGCACTCTGGACATGTCCATAGGTGCTTAGATCCTCGCCTCAGTATGAACCGCGCATTTGGTGGCTAATACTACAAGTTTTATTTTTGATTAACATGTCTTCTGGTGTGCCTGGTGTGTGTCTCGTTTTTTTCTATGCCTATCTTAACTTCCAAGTCTATCATTCTAGCAAGTGATGTTGATTCACTGCCTCCAAAGTACTCCACCCTTCCGAATTCTCGGAGGGCATTAATTATATCTGCATGATCCATAGGTTGACGCCATTTCCATTCACGCCCGCGTAACCCAGACCAAAAATAAAGGTGACTCCATGCACAGTGGACTTCTGTAATGACTCAAATTATTGCCTTCGCACTGAACCTGCCACCACTGTCCTAAATCTATGACAACAGCCGTTTTTCCGAGCCACCTACCTAAATCAAAATCTAGCACCTCAAGGTTGTGAAATGCATTCACACACCTCTAAGCCAAAAGACCTCATGAGATGGGATTAAATTCTAGACTCCAGAACTGGCCAACAAATCTACCAGCCGACTAAAATCACTCAGAGAAAACACCAGAACTAATAAAGCATAAAGAGTTTTGAAACACACATCTCCTCTCAGCATAGAGTAGTTTTTAAGTCAACACACACAACAATAGTGGGCAGCTGCGTTGGGGCAGCAGCTTGTTACTCTAGCTGCAGATTCAAGAGTCGTGGATAAAAAAAAAAAATGACCTGGGGTCTCAGGTTGATCCATTCTGGTACCTGGTAAAGTCTTAGGAAATGCTGATTGATTTAAAAATATAGTTTAGCATTGAATGCCCAATTTACCTAAAAAGTAAAGTAAAGGGCCCTTTTCCAAGCCTTCAGGAGTCCTGGGCGTATAGGAGTAGACCTATATTTTGTAGATCAAAGAGCACTTAGTGGGTGATGTGGTCTGAAGCATGCCAGCCGCATTCACTTTCCAGGACTATACCTGGTACCCACTCAAGGTTAGGTCGATCTGGGAGCCAAGATTATTTCCAAAATATCTAAACGAGCAGGAAATAATTAACAAGTCACAATCGGGCAGTTAACCTTTTCCACAACTGTGTGAACAAGTAAACAGAATATGCAATCTGATGCTGTGCAGAGTAATCTAACAATCAACTTTTAATGAACAATGTTTGTCAAACATTAAAAAAAAAATTTACTTTTATTATTTAAGTACATTTTATTTATTTCTGAGAGAATTAATAAATGTATTATGAATGATGTTTAAATCAGTTTAACAAGTTGTGTGGTTGTATCCACGACTTCCGATCTCATAAGTCCAAAAACTTCTGTCTGATAGAAAGAAAGTAATGATTTCTGTTCCTTTAAATAGCTTATCAATTTCTTAATGGAAAAATTCAAACACTTTACTTCTGAAAAAGTTCCTAACAGCTTAAAGACCTTGTGGACGTAGTGTTCTTCCACAACTTTCAATGGTGACTTTAAGCCAGCTGTACAGCTAACACACACAGACTCCCAAAGACACAACTTGCCTTGCTGTCTGATGGAAGATGACTAAAGAAAGTCGAGGAAAACTGGGCACCACACTGGCTACCACTGAACAACCAGCTCCTGAGATCCTTCTTGATGGCTTGAAAACATGCAGGTGAAGCTTCAGTGCTTGCGAAAGGCGACCTGATCTCAGCTGCAGAAAATTAGACAACTGATGTCGTAGTTATCAAAAGTGATCAAAATTTGTTTTTTATTATTATTATCTACTAAAAACTGTCACCACAGAAATGCTAAAAAAATTGTCACTACAATTTTACAATGGTCGAATATAAAAAAAAAAAAAGTTTTTTTATCTACAATTCTTTTTTTCCACTGTGAAATATGCAAAGATATCTGAAAGCAGTAATATTAAAAAAAAACGTGATTAGCATTAAATACCCCAGAGTGGAAACAACAACATGCATCGGTTGACTCCTCAATAAGGTTGGGGATTTAATTTTATGTCAGGGAAAAGAGTAAAATTCTAGCCTGCACAGTGGTAAATACAGGTGGTTTGTTGTTGTTGCTCAATGAGGCCACTAGTACCATACTGTTGCTGCTGTAATATTAACCTTACAAACAAGTGATTACAAGAGACTGTACTGAATGAAAAAACTACCACTGCTGTTGCTTTTGCAGTAATAATTTTAATAACAATTCCTGCTATAATTACGTAAACAATGTATTATTTATTTAAACTGTATTCAATAACGCAACTTATTTCTATGATAGTCACAGCTCTAATTATACAATGGCCTACAGTAAATTTTACTCAAAAAGGTAACTAGTACTTGGGGGGGGGGGGGGGGGGGGGGGGGGGGGGGGGGGGGGGGGGGGGGAGGGGGGGGGAAGATATAAAGATAGGGAGATGTGTAAAAAGACATCAATTTTTAAAAAAGAATTATACCATGACTGCATAAGACTGAATTTTTAAAAATGTTTGTTTGCCCAAAGATCAAAATATTACATTCAAGTCTAAAATTTGCACTATTTTCAGTTCCGACCCTTTTCTATATAAAAAAAAAAAAAGGTCCCTTTTCCACGCCTTTAGGTGTATAGGCCATACAGGGCTAGACCTATATTTTATAGACCAATCGGCACAAGATGGGTGATGTGGTCAGCATCACGCCGGCCGCCTTTACTTCCCGGGACTGCACCCGGTACCCACTCAAGGCTGGGTCGACCTGAGAGCAAAGGTCATTTTTGAAAAAAGTCCGGCTCCACCAGGGAGAAAACCCACAACCTTCCGATCCGTGTCGAGCACCTAGCTGCTCCGCCACGGGGGCTCCCTTCTCTTTTCTATACTGCACATTATACAAATTTGCTGGACAAAAGAAATTAATATTTCCTGATCTGCTGTAACTGGAGCCACTGTAGAGCAAACAGACACCATATTTCCTGCCGGCCTGGTGATCATGTGTTCAAATCTCTATGTCTCCATGTGAGTTCCGGGGCCACATTTTTTGGGGGAAAATAACATACCCAAGCCCCCGCCTCCCTACCCCCCCCCCCCCAATCACACACAATCATGTCATTAGAGGTGACTATAGTATCTGGGATGTTTTCTTTGAAGTCCGAGTATATCTGCTTGACAGGTAAGGAAATAACAGTCTGCATACAAATAAGCCAGATCCGCAGAACGAATGTGCATTCAAAACAATGTCTGGAGCAAGACCAAAATCCAGAAGTGGAGGAACAACTAGAAATTAGAATTTACAGCCGGTGGACACAAAGAAGAAGAGAAATTCCCTACCAAGGCAGATTGAATTAAAAAAAATGCGGTCAACCCAGATTAAACTGAGTATGAGAACATTTTCTAACAAGTGGCATATTTACCCCATAATCTATCTATACCATAAAACTGAAAATCCATGTGTCTGTATATTTTCAGTCTACGAAGAACTCTTCCCAAACAGTGATCAGTAGATGGCTTAAATTTTCAGATGCCAGTCTGACTGCAATTTTTATCAGAGTTTCAGGTGCAGTTAGATACATATGGCAGCGGTGGAGACAGAGGTGAAGTAGAGGAAGGTAAAAAACAATGTTCTCAAACTATTCCGAGTGACGCCGCGCATTTAAATGTAGACGATAAATGTAGACGATCTTGGCTAGCAAAGTAAGCCAATTATGTTTCATGGTGTAGATCACGTTTTACATTACCATCATCAATCTCTTTCTCTTTTATTTGTTAATGTGGTTTCAGTGATTTCGTATATAATACAGTGCTATATTTATATCCTACCCCAAAGAGGGAAAATCCTCAGGTCACGGGACAGTCTAATATTTCAGGGGTGGTAGATAGGCTGCATGCAGTCATAGGGCCTAGGCTGAATGCAGTCCTGGGACATAGGCTGCACTCTCCCGTGAGACGTAGGTGGGTTGGGGTTGGGCCAGTTCTAGATATTTTGGGGTCGTTAAAAGCATCAGAAAGCTGGGAAACCGAGTCTTACCACCCTCGAAAATGTTGGACTGTCCTGTGACGCTATCTGGGGGTAGGATATTAATAAAGAACATATAATACTAAATGAGAATAAATTGAAACAGAAAACATGATGTATGAAATTTACCTTTATGCAAACAAGAATTGTCAACAATCTCAAAATCATGCTCTTCTTCAAGGTCAGCGTGCTGTTTAATAAGGCTCAACCAGCTGTTCAAGCTGCAAGAGCTACCCGGGGTGGAGCTGTCAGAGACACCGATCACCGGCAGGTCACCGGATTTATTCAGCAAGTTGGGACGAGTGGCCGGCTGCCTTCTGTCTGGAGCCTTGACTTCAGTCTTGGTTTTGATGGCTGGTGTTTTCTTCTGCAGCCAGTCCTCAAGATGGGTTGACAACTTTGGTATTGCAACATTGATCTGTTCGTAAGAGAATAAATCAGCTCAAACAATAATGGAAGCACAAGGTGGGCTTATTAAAGATGTTGAATGCAGAACACTTAAGCAAAAGAAGTAAATGATAAACAGTCAATAGTTTCAACAAGGAAAAAAACAAGATCTTTGCACACCTTTGGCATATAGTGCTAAACCAATATTTGTAAAGAGCAATCAGAAATCAATGGATGATGCAGTCAATATGATGCTAGCCGTCTTTTTGTCTTGAAAGAAATTAAATCACACAGGTTATCCACATCAGACGGAGGTCAGCCCAGTCTTACTTGGGTACTAGGTCAAGTCCTGGGTAGTAAAGGTGGACTACATGCTGCTGACATCATTGCCCATCGAGTGCCGACTGGTCTACAAAATACAGACTAGGACTATATGCCCGAAGATGTGAAAAAGGGTTCTTTGCTTACATCAGACGGAGACAATCAACACTGGGCACATCATGAGAAAAGAGTCCTTCACTTACTTATACTTTACATCAGACGGGGACAATCAACACTGTTTGGGCACATCATGAAAAAAGAGTCATTCACTTACTTATACTTTACATTAGACGGGGACAATCAACACTATTTGGGCACATCATGAAAAAAGAGTCATTCACTTACTTATACTTTACATTAGACAAGGACAATCAACGCTGTTTTGGCACATCATGAAAAAAGAGTCCTTCACTTACTTATACTTTACATTAGACGGGGACAATCAACACTATTTGGGCACATCATGAAAAAAGAGTCATTCACTTACTTATACTTTACATTAGACGGGGACAATCAACACTATTTAAGCACATCATGAAAAAAGAGTCATTCACTTACTTATACTTTACATTAGACGGGGACAATCAACACTGTTTGGGCACATCATGAAAAAAGGGTCCTTCACTTGCTTATACTTTACATCAGACGGGGACAATCAACACTATTTGGGCACATCATGAAAAAAGGGTCCTTCACTTACTTATACTTTACATTAGACGGGGACAATCAACACTGTTTGGGCACATCATGAAAAAAGGGTCCTTCACTTACTTATACTTTACATTAGACGGAGACAATCAACACTATTTGGGCACATCATGAAAAAAGGGTCCTTCACTTATACTTTACATCAGACTGGGACAATCAACACTATTTGGGCACATCATGAAAAAAGGGTCCTTCACTTACTTATACTTTACATTAGACGGGGACAATCAACACTGTTTGGGCACATCATGAAAAAAGGGTCCTTCACTTATACTTTACATCAGACGGGGACAATCAACACTATTTGGGCACATCATGAAAAAAGGGTCCTTCACTTATACTTTACATCAGACGGGGACATTTAACACTATTTGGGCACATCATGAAAAAAGGGTCCTTCACTTACTTATACTTTACATTAGACGGGGACAATCAACACTATTTGGGCACATCATGAAAAAAGGGTCCTTCACTTACTTATACTTTACATCAGACGGAGACAATCAACACTGTTTGGGCACATCATGAAAAAAGGGTCCTTCACTTACTTATACTTTACATCAGACGGGGACAATCAACACTGTTTGGGCACATCATGAAAAAAGGGTCCTTCACTTACTTATACTTTACATTAGACGGGGACAATCAACACTATTTGGGCACATCATGAAAAAAGGGTCCTTCACTTACTTATACTTTACATTAGACGGGGACAATCAACACTGTTTGGGCACATCATGAAAAAAGGGTCCTTCACTTACTTATACTTTACATCAGACGGGGACAATCAACACTGTTTGGGCACATCATGAAAAAAGGGTCCTTCACTTACTTATACTTTACATTAGACGGGGACAAACAACACTGTTTGGGCACATCATGAAAAAAGGGTCCTTCACTTACTTATACTTTACATTAGACGGGGACAATCAACACTGTTTGGGCACATCATGAAAAAAGAGTCCTTCACTTATACTTACATTAGACGGGGACAATCAACACTGTTTGGGCACATCATGAAAAAAGAGTCCTTCACTTACTTATACTTTACATTAGACGGGGACAATCAACACTGTTTGGGCACATCATGAAAAAAGAGTCCTTCACTTGCTTATACTTTACATAAGACGGGGACAATCAACACTATTTGGGCACATCATGAAAAAAGGGTCCTTCACTTACTTATACTTTACATCAGACGGGGACAATCAACACTGTTTGGGCACATCATGAAAAAAGGGTCCTTCACTTATACTTACATCAGACGGGGATAATCAACACTGTTTGGGCACATCATGAAAAAAGGGTCCTTCACTTACTTATACTTTACATTAGACGGGGACAATCAACACTATTTGGGCACATCATGAAAAAAGGGTCCTTCACTTACTTATACTTTACATCAGACGGGGACAATCAACACTGTTTGGGCACATCATGAAAAAAGAGTCCTTCACTTGCTTATACTTTACATAAGACGGGGACAATCAACACTATTTGGGCACATCATGAAAAAAGGGTCCTTCAATTACTTATACTTTACATCAGACGGGGACAATCAACACTGTTTGGGCACATCATGAAAAAAGAGTCCTTCACTTACTTATACTTTACGTTAGACGGGGACAATCAACACTGTTTGGGCACATCATGAAAAAAGAGTCCTTCACTTGCTTATACTTTACATAAGACGGGGACAATCAACACTATTTGGGCACATCATGAAAAAAGGGTCCTTCACTTACTTATACTTTACATCAGACGGGGACAATCAACACTGTTTGGGCACATCATGAGAAAAGAGTCCTTCACTTATACTTTACATCAGACGGGGACAATCAACACTGTAGGTTGGGCACATCATGAGAAGGGAACAACCAAAGCAGCAAAGGATAAGAGAGGCAGGCTGACTTTAATGGAAGGAAGAACATTTCTGTCAGAAAATATACACAAGACAATAAACATAAGGCTGTGGGAACACACAATCACCAACACTACATGGTTACAAGGAAAATCACAGCTGAACACTGCAGTATGCTTTATGATAGCCTGCATATATCAACATGACTAAACAATGACTATGCAAATAGTTTATCAAAGAAAATCCAGATTAAATAAAAACAATACTAGGTTAAACAATCAATCAGGAACTGTCTCCATAATGAAGACTAGCCACAATGGAGATTTACAACTATCTCTGGCACTAGACGAACACCTGCTCAGCCTGCTGTTCATCTCTCTCTTGAGGTTATCATCCAACTGTATCACTGCCCATCTCCTTGGGCTCAACTGCCTTTAACTTGTCCCAAAGTATGGTTTTTAAAAGGGTATTAACTCTTTGAGTCCCAGGGGGTTTTGCATCAGAGGCCCAAGGGGGTAATATGATTTTGACTTTTAACAAATGCAGCACTTTAAAACAAACAATTATACTGTTAGTATTTAGTAGAGAAAACAGTGACTTAGTTTGAGAGGTGAGTAAATTATGAACAAGTTTTTTTCCACTTACCCAGAAGTTGATCCCAAAATTCTTGATATATTATATCCAAAATGCATCACAAAGGAAGGTACACCACTTATAAGTATGCACAGCCAATATTAAAGCAAAATGTGCAATAGTTGTTGTTCCATAGAAATTTTAATAACACTACCATAACACGTCAAAATATATTCTCCAGTGGCACAAACAATGACTTTTCTAAAAACAATTGAATTCCTCACATAGAAAAAAACTGTAAAGGAACTGTAAACATGTCAACCCGTTCATAAATATATATCTATGGTTTTAGATGATATGGATAGTAGTACTAGAAGCGCTGACATTTGGATTAGCTGGTGTCGCGTTACGAGGTGCTTCTCTTGTGTTGCCAAGACAGAATTAGTCAGTTTTGTCCTCTTAGCAGGAGGTAAATTACGCACACATTCCTCATCAAAACTTGACCAGTCAACGGTTTGGGGAAATTCCACGTCGCTACTATCATTATCCAACTCCACATTACTTTGATTGATCCACTGTTTATCAAATTTGATGCTTCTAAAGCAGTATATCGCTTTGCTGGGCGTGAAGACGATGACTGATTGGACATATTGTTTTCAGACAATTAATTGGTAACCTAGTAGACTTCACAAATATAGATTTATAGCGTTAAAAACTCACCAGTCCCAAACAAACGCACTCCATGTGTGTTCACTACACACTTGTGAACCGGAAAGGAAGTTTAAATTGAGCGGTTCGTGTGTAATTACAGACAAGTGGTAAATTAAAAACCGTCACACATCACATGCTGGTTGGGCCGCCAGGTAGTAACCAAATAGCGCGTGATGCGTTCCTTGGGACTCAAAGAGTTAAGTAAGTCTATTCTGGAGCTGTTATGTTAACAAAAGGGTATAAAGTCTAATCTGGAGCTGTTATGTTAACAAAAGGGTATTAAGTCTATTCTGGAGCTGTTATGTTATCAAAAGGCTATTAAGTCTAATCTGGAGCTGTTATGTTAACAAAAGGGTATTAAGTCTATTCTGGAGCTGTTATGTCAACAAAAGGGTATGAAGTCTAATCTGGAGCTGTTATGTTAACAAAAGTCTAATCTGGAGCTTTTATGTTAACAAAAGGGTATTAATTCTAATCTGGAGCTGTTATGTTAACAAAAGGGTATTAAGTCTAATCTGGAGCTGTTATGTTAACAAAAGGGTATGAAGTCTAATCTGGAGCTGTTATGTTAACAAAAGTCTAATCTGGAGCTTTTATGTTAACAAAAGGGTATTAATTCTAATCTGGAGCTGTTATGTTAACAAAAGGGTATTAAGTCTAATCTGGAGCTGTTATGTTAACAAAAGGGTATTATTTCTAACCTATTGGGGAAAACAGCAGTGTACCACATAGGTGATCAAGATCAGGTTTAAAAGATTACTAAAAAATGCAGCGGAAATTTTGATTCTGCATAAAGTGTTATCCAGACCCTCTGCCCTCTTTCATAGAATCAACCTTGCCAGGTGGGAATTCTCTGTCTGTCCACGCTATTCACCTGTTCCTAGACAACCATCACCAAATCTGCATTATTATCACCAGCTCACTGCCCAGATGATGGACAGCAGCCAATACATCAGTATATTTATTTCCCCACATATCTGCATACCTTGGGCAATAAATGCACAATACTTCTGACCTTTCATCCTTCTAAGCATAAAAATAATTCCTCCCTCATAAAACAAGCTTAAAAATTAAAAAATTTTAAAAACTTACCCTTCGCACACCTGAAGCTGAGGTCTGTCTCTCCAGAGTTTTATAGAAAATATGGTGGTCAACATCCTGGTACTCCTCAACGCGACGTGGCAAACTGGCAGATGGATTTCCCGGATCATTAAAGGCCATAAGAGGTGGAAGTCCACTGGCATCAACTCTACCATAATGGAGAATTGATTCACGAAGCTTCACATGGTCAGCCCTAAAGGAAATGTACGGAGTTTCTTCCGGTGACAGTTCAATTCTGTTTAATCTAGAGTGGGGAGAAAAAAAACTAGATTTTCATTCCCACGTACAGAGATAAGTTAATACCTTGGTTTAAAGCAATAAGTAAAATAATACAATGATTATCATCGAACTCGAACAATAATTCATCCACTGCAAAGAAAAGATTTAATTATCTTACTAGTAGTGAACTTTCTGGAAGACTGAACTTTTTTTTAACTCTTTAAATTCGATGCTCTGTACTCAGTGCATTATATTTCAGGTACATAAGTGCATTGCCTTTTAGTGCCTTATCATTCAGCGCAGTCAACGTTTCGGTGCATGGTCTTTCATGGTAATGCCATTTGGTGCATGGCCTTTCATGGTATTGCCTTTCGGTGCAGTCTTTCATATCATCTAGGTCTTGTAAAGGACATGCATTAATCATAGTGAGGATGCTACAGTCAAGTTCAGGTGTTCCATATCTGGTCATGTTTCTTCCACGAGTTTAGGTATTCCATATCTGCTCAACATCTCAAGAGAAAAATAAAAGATGTAAATTAAAAAAAAAAAAATAAAACGCAAATTCAAAGTAAGGAAATGAAAAATCATAAGCTATAGGTCTTTACTTTAATGTTTTATTAGAAAATAAGTATTTCTACTGTCATTATAAGGGTAAAAAAAAAAAAAAAAATAGAATAAGGGCATACCCAGAACAAAGAGCTTTCAAAATAGAATGTGGCAAGGAATTGTAAAAAAATAAAAAACATTTTTTTATTATGATTAAGTGTTTTCTTTTCTTACTTGAAAAAAATAATATATGAAGATCACAGAATTTTCTATGACAGTTATTTCTATCTTAAAAAAAAAACGACAACAAAAAAGTTATATGTTTGTTTTTGTTCACTGAACAGACCCCAATCCTACTTTTATACAAAAATCCACTCCTCCTTCTACTGTCCTCTGCCTTACAGAGAGGAGTTAGATGTAGACTGCTGTCTTTTATTAGTTGTGTAGCTTGTATTAATGTGATATTGCGTTTCTATAGTGTCTCCTTTGCTCCATCCACCCATCTCTTTTTTGGACGGCCTCTTGCCTTCTAGCCTCACATAGTACGCTCTAGCCGCTGGCTGACTTTGTTCTATTCTAACCAGATGACCTAACTATTTGATTCGTTGATGTTCATTTAATTATTTACCTGTGCCTACCATTGTTCTTAGTTCTCTGTTGGGGACTGTCTAAAATTCACAATATTTTAAGAAAAAAAAGAATAAACACAATTAAAAACAAACAAACAAACAATCAAACTCAGCAAGCTTTCATATCAATCATCATCAGATACCTTGCCAGGTGGCACACTTTCATACCTCCCCAAAGGTCAAAGTTCTCGGTGTTCTGTGTCAATGTTACTGATAATATTCTTTGACACCCCTATCTTAGACCAGGTTTTTTATTTTTTTTTAACCACTGATCTTCCCAATCTCCAAAATATTCTCAACTGCCTCTCTTCTCATGACCAAAGAACAATGCAACTTTTTATATAATTGAAACAAAAAATGTTCTTATGTTAAAAATTAATTCGTAATAAAAGATGAACATTACTGAACTTTTAGAATTAATCACAAATGCAAAATAAAAGTAAGCTGAATAAAATGAACATTTGAGTTTAATTAATATTAAAAAAAGATAAAAATAACATTCAGGTTAATCAAAATGAATATTCAAGTTAAATATAATTTAATATTTAAAGAAACAAATATTCAAGCTGAAATGAATATTACAGTTTAAAAAAAAAATGAATAATCAAGTTAAATGAATATCCAAGTTGACTAATTTAATATTTAAAGTAACAAATAAATATTCAAGCTGAATAAAATGAATATTACAGTTTAACAAAATGAATAATCAAGTTAAATGAATATTCAAGTAAAACAAAATAAACATTATCGATCTCATACTAACTTCTCTAGTGTTTCAGTTAGTTGCCTCTCAGAAGCGGTGTGTTCCAGAATCATGGACAGGCCAGTCCGTAACACACCAAGAGTCTGGTTTAGCCTGGCCTGCTGCTTTTGCAGTGTTTCCTCTTTGACCCTCAACACCTGATCTACCTGGCGCAGCAGTGTCACCTCCCTGTTTCGTAGACATTCTAGGTTACGGCTGACACTGGCATGTATCTCAGCCTTGACCTAACGAAAGAAAATTATTTCTGTTATCTAGGACAGTAGCTCCAGGTCATGGTAGCTTCTAGATTTAGTCAAGTTTTTGTGCTGTACAACTGCAATCTAGGGAGTCACTGCGGTGTAGCAGCTAGATGCTAGTCTGTGGACCGGAATGTTGTGGTGGAGCTAGATTTTTTTTTAAAAACGACTTTGGCTACCAGGTCGACCCAGCCTTGAGTGGGTTCCAGGTACAGTCCTGGGAAGTAAAGGCAGCCGACGTGATGTTGACTACATCACCCATCTTGTGCCGTTGGTCTATAAAATATAGGTTTAGCCCTATATACCCAATACACCTGAAAGGTGAGGATAAGGGTCCTTTACTTTATTTTACAATTGCAATCTACAGGCACTTAATGGGAAACAAAGAGATTAAGGAGGCGGGGTCGCCTAAAAGAAACCCTAAAATGAACGGCGATAAGACAGGACAAAGGTGCTTGACTGTATTCTATCAAGATATTTAACCTGCTTGACTGGATTCTATCAAGATATTGAACCTGCTTGACTGGATCCTATCAAGATATTGAACTGATTTGCACAGAATAGCGAGAATTGGAGGAATGGACTGGTAGCCCTGTGTGACATATAATGGTACAACCGGACAATGAATGAGCAGTTGCAATTTATGTTGAAGTGAGTTTCAGCTGAGTTTCCAGAATTAGCATCGCAGCACTAGGGATACTCCCATAAGCACTCTGTCATCTTCTGCGGCCAGGGAATAATTCAAACTCTGATGGCACCAGTAACAGTCTTATTGTGCTTCCATCTTTCTTCTCTTCTGAGTGTGAAATGTTGGCCAGATCCTCTGGTCACTCCCTGTTGCATCATTCTCTTCAGACGGTGATGATCTAACTATGCCTCTGGATTGTTCACTTGCTCAAAAAGGGGCCTTGACAACATCTAGCTTGCCATGCATAGTTGAAATCTACAAAATGTAGCAAGTTATAACAATACAACTATGGGGCAGTAGTTAAGCATCATGGTGGCCTGCAGAGAACCGTGATGGAGTGTGCTATTTCCTTAAAATGGGCCAGAGGCTGGCCTCCACAAAGGTGGATACAAGACACTGAAGATGCACTGCCTATGAAAGCGTATAAAGATGCTGAGACAGGATGCTGTTTACTAGCCAACCTTCCTTGATGATAAGAGGATCTATTAGAATGTCAGTATTTCTTTTCTTCTTGGTCCATGGTATTCACACTGAATACGTCAAAACTGGAATGAAATAGACAAGATTAGTGTGGCCCCTGAACAAAGAGGACAGGCAAATTCACGAAGTATTTGATATTGTTGACAAAGAAAACAACAGCAGTACAGCTACAAGAACATATCAGAAAGCAGCAACTATTATATGAAGATCAACACAGACAAAACAAAAGTGATGACATTCTCCAGAAAAGGAATTACCAACAATATCAAAATTGATGAACTCTAATTAAAGCAGGCGAAGGATTTTACATATCTGGTAAGAATTTTTTCAGAAGACGGAAGAATGAATAAAGAAATCCAACAAAGATGCAATAAAGCCAATCAAGTTTTAGGCCAAATGGCACCAATTTTGAAATGCAAGCATGTGAATGTGAATACTAAAAGAACACTGCAACACAATATTCTTGCCAATGCTATGCTATCAATGTCAAACATGGATACTGTCTTGAGAAGACAGAAGGAAAACAGTCACAGCAGGAATTAAATGTTTACATACTATTCTAGGTGTAATGAGGCAGGAACGATGATATCAGGAGGAGAATTGGCACAGAACCAGTACTGAACTTTATAGGTAGACAACAAATCAAATTGTTTTGCCATGTAACAAGATTGGCAACAGACAGGGCACCACAGAGAGCAATGTTATATAGATTCAGCGGTAACAGAGCCAGAGGTCAACCATGCAGTAGATGGACCGCAGAAATATCAGAGACACTGAAAAGTACTATATACGAAGCAAACAGAATGGTCCGTTTTAGAGATTTCTTCCCCCCCCCCCCCCCCTGATACCGTGAGGTATTCCAGGAGTAGAGAAAAAAAGAGGAGAAGAAGAAGACAAACCAAAATAAATCTTATCTTATGTAAATCAGTAAAGGTGCATCTTCATGCCTTGATGCTTTAAAGTGACTTTAGGTATATGGTGCTATCCCAGTATTTGTGTAGACAATCTGGCACATGATGGGTGATGCGGTCAATATCATGCACGTTGGCACTGCCTCTTTAACAATCCTGGCATTTTATTTTAGGTTGGGTCCATCTGATAGCCTAGGCCAGTTCTCTAAAAAAAATTGCCTGGAAAATATGACCATAAAACCAGCAGGTATTTTCACTGAGGTACCGCGGCTCACAGCAATGGTTATCCAAACAAGTTCTTCCAGTGGACCAAGAGGTAAAGAAAAGATGCTTATGCTGGATAGGACATAGGCTGGGGAAAAACTCTGAACAATATAACAGAATGTCTTTGTACTGGAACTCACAGCAGCACAGAAATAAAGGCAGACCAAAAACACAAAGATGAGAGCTAGAACGTGAAGTTAAAAAGATGGAGAGGACAGGGGTGAGCTGCATGCGAGAGCCAAGGATAGAACAACCTGGCGCGAGTTGGCTGAGGGCCTATCCTCAATAGGGGGGGGGGTGGTGGAAGGCAGAAGGAGGAGACCAAAGCTCATTCTAAATTTAATGTACCTTCTTTCCACAGTTCAAAATACTCACAAAGAGAATAAAGAAACCGATTGGTAAATGAACACTGGTGATAACCATGAAAAAAGATGAAACACCTGAACAGAATAAGCCAAGTAACCATCTTTGGCTTTACACACCGGACATTTTTCACAAAAATACCGGACATCGTTCACACACACACACATTGGGCATCTTTCACCTACACACACTGGACATCTTTCACCTACACACTGGACATCTTTCACTTAAACACTGGACATCTTTCACTTACACATTGGAAATCTTTCACTTACACACTGGACATCTTTCACTTACACACTAGAAATCTTTTACTTACAAACTGGGGATCTTTCACTTATACACTGGTCATCTTTCACTTACACACAGGAAATCTTTCACTTACACACTGTGGATCTTTCACTTACAAACTGGGGATCTTTCACTTACACACTGCGGATCTTTCACTTACACACTGTGGATCTTTCACTTACACACTGGGGATCTTTCACTTATACACTGGACACAACAGACTCAAGAAACACCGATATACACTGGGTACGAGCCAAGTAGTTCTCTGCCAGTGTCTTCATGCAGAACAGACTCTTCAACATGTGGCCACACCCAGTAGACCAGACAATTAAGCTTTAGGGGAATCCAAGAGACCTTGAGGTGACATTATGGCCCACAGGGGATTAACAGCATGACCACAGACTGCTGAAGAAGATAACATACATTATGCCAAAACTGCAAACTTACATCTGAGGCATTTCGGTTGAGGTGTTTCTTGACGATATCCAAACGTTTGATGGCACTCTCAAGCTGCACAACCCTCTCTTGCACTTCACTCAAAGACATGATAGTCTCCAGATGTGTACCGCTCACCAGCCAAGTCACAAAACTGCTGCCTTTATTTACTTCTTTCTAAAAATACTAGGTACAAAAACAAACAAGAATTTGTACAGTAAAACCTCAATACAAACTTGCTTAAGAAGAACATTCATTTAATGCGAACAAAATATTGGTCTTAGCAGTGAGGTAATAACTTATAATTGATCTATTTGTCCCCAGATAGCACAAACATTTTTAAGAAATGTTTTATTTTACAGTTTCCTGGAATTTGTGTTAACAAGGTTTCACTGCACATTTCCCTGGCAGTGACCAAGGGATCTAGCTGACACTACTCACAGGAAAGGCAGGTTAAACACAGGACCAAAAACTACTGATATTCAGGAAGGTATTGCCAGTTGGAGATGACGAGTATTAATTCTGGTGTGACAATAGCTTTTAATTTTTATAATGGCATTATAAGGATTTTGTGCGTGTGCGTGTGTATGTGTGCACCCGAATATGTGTATGTGTGTGAGGGGTAAGGTTTGTGACATCTATCATCTGGTTTGCACACTGGTTTATTAGTGGTATACGAAAATCTGAAAACAAAGGGAAGTGAGGTAGGGGTACCCTCTATCCAAGGGAAATAAGGCGTCTCCTTCCCTTCGCTAGCCTGCGGGACACACCTGGGCAAGGTGTAGTACCTGTTTAGCTTTGCTATCAGGGTCACATGAAACAACGGATCAGGTGGTAGATTAAGCTTGACAGTGGTTGGTAATGGTCTCAAGGTCTTTAACAGTAGGCACAGCGCCAGTCATACCATCATGACAATGGCTATGGTAACCATCCCATTCCCCCCCCCCCCCCCATCACTGCTAAGAAGGAAACCACTTTCTAAACTACTGTCTTCTAGATACCAAGCACAGTCATAATTTCACAATTTATAAATATTCATCAATAAAATATGACTATTGCATCATTACTAAAATAAGTGTTGAAGTGCTACACAGAATCTGTGTTGTTATATGCAAGACATGGACAATAAGCATACAAGCTAAAAAAAAAAACCATTTACTATTCATTAATACATATAAATCAGGTCTAACATCTACTGCTGCCAGTTCATTAATCGGTCGAACATTATTGCTAATCTATGTCGGAGCTGACGGTCTGCCTGCCATCATTGCCGGAAATAAATCCTAATTTTTCATAGCACAGAGGCCCTGTTAGGGTATGTTTTTTAACCTCGATAATATGTGACCGTTATTCGCAGGAGTGCCTAAAATATTAATATCTCGTTTAGATTTGACCTATATGCTTTACTGCATTTTAATCTCTATCCAGCTGTGATGCGGTGTCCGTGGCTTAGGCGTTGTGAGTCCGACTCGTAATTCCAAAGTATTGCGATCGAAACCCACTCCTGGCTGCGCGGATTTTTATCGTGGTATGGCGCGTCGCAGGTCAACCCAGCCTTAAATGGGTACCAGGATGGCTGTCCTGGCGAAGTAGAGATAGCTGGCGTAATGCTGACCACATTACCCACCTAGTGCCGATGTTCTGAAAAAATATGGGTGCTCTTCCCATATACCCCATGCGCCTAAAAGCGTGAAAAGGTATCTTTACTTTTTTCTTGTTACTATCCAGCTGTGATAGTTTCATAAGTTTTTTGCGTATCGTTCACAGGACATTGCAGAACAACCCCAGCAATTTTTTGGGCTGTTGTGGTTTTTCTAGGCAAGTTTACGTCCAGTAGTTTGCCATTGCTTTCTGGACGGTCAGCTTCTGGATACCACTGTCAAAACCAAAGCAAGGAGCAAGGCCTGCAGCTGGGATGAAACGCGGCACTACAAAGCGCGTTCACAACGCCTAAGCCACAGACGTTTTATAAGTAAAACCCCAATACATAAAACTTCACTTGCATTCCTACTATAATTATAATTATACACTATGTATTTAGAAGGCAAAGTCAGAGGCCAAAGCTTGTTGAGTTGGCAAAGGGGTGGGTCTAACTTGAACAGACAGAACTGAGAACACACAGGATGATATAAAAATAAATGGTTGTTATAATCACTACCAGTACAACATATGCAAAATGAAACAATAACACACTACACACATATTAACATGACTTTTAAACAATGAAATGTGTTCCTTGAAAACAAAACATCAACCTCCAGAGAATACCTTGTTAGTAACTTCTGCCAGACATCCACCCACCTCACAAACAGTAAGTGCTAGAAACTACAAAAATGTTCGGGAAAACAACACGGAATCTGAATTGTATACAATATACTTGTTTTAACTATTTACGTTTGGGGAAAAATTAATAAAGTTATCAGAAATATCACGTTTATAACTGTTATCATTATTGTTAGAAAATGGATTCATCTTAGTTATAACTAGAGCATTTAGGGGTTAAATCTGTATTATTTCAAATAGTAATACTATAATACATTTGCCCGTGCATTCTTACTAGTAATAATAAATAGACTTATAATAAGTAATAACAATGTTATAGTTATCAGTAAATATCCCGTTTAACCCTTCTATTTTATAATTTGGATATATGGAGTTCGATGCTGTTGTTTTTCTCTAGGTAATCAATATTTATAATTTTCTAACCGATGTTTTTCGGTTATTTCTAAATATTTCACGTATTTGAGACTGCGGTATATTATAGTTATAGTATTAGTAATTTAGTATATATTCACATTCACATTGCGCAACTTTACGAGTTTTTGGTAATTTCGTTTTTAAAAAACGAGGTTAATGAACAAGAAAACTCAGCCTCAAATATATGTGAGTGTTTAATCAAAGTACATATAATAAACTGCCACGCATACCTTACAATACTGAACGGAGACAAGCCTAGGTTACAAACAATCACAATCAGCACTGGCTAGCAGTGTTGCCACTTTTCATTGACAAAAAATATCCAAAACGGTGTCAAAAAGTATCTAAAAAGATCTAAATCTGCGTGGAAAAGATCTAGAAAAAACATCCAAATTGAACAAGTCAAAAATTACATAGCTTTTGTTATGACTTACCCTAAATAATCATGTCCTAACCTTCACTGATGTCTGCCTCACAAGATCCACAGGATAAACTTAGCTTGGATAATGAAGTTGAAGCTTCAGATTCAAAATGATCATAGTATGCTTTAGCTGTTCAAATTTCTTTATAAGTGGAACAGTAGGCTTCTTTCTCTAGTCTCATCAGGCCGAATTTTAATGGCACGATAGCATTTTAGATTTGATATAATATCTAGCACTGAAAACTCTTTCTACGTCAGCATTTGAGTGGGGTAGTATCATGGCAGACATGGCACTTCAAAGAGCTTACAGAATGGACTGTTTGATGAGGCATCTTTAAATTGTCTCACTTCACTCCAAAAGGCTTGAGTTTCTGTTTTGTTTGTCCATTCAGCTAACTGTATTTTGGTTAACTGATATTCTGCTTCCGCGACACTATTATCAGTAGCCCCTAAAAATTTCCTAACTTTACACTATTTAAGTATGTCCTTTATTGGCTGAAGTATGTTGCTCACAGAAAAAAAGTGAAATATTTTTCAAAACATCTAGATTTTCAGGAAGTCTCTGCTTCAGTTGCTTCAATAATGAGATAAGGAAATCTTGACAGCGTTTTCTTAAGTTGTTCTCCTCATTCTCTGTTAACAGTCCTTTTGTTTAAATCATAAATTTTTGATTCGATTTAATATCCAAGGTGTGGCTTAGGAGCCAAATAGCTCTCTATAGTGCAAGTGAGCAAATCAGCTTTAGAAGTTGGCAACACCAGTCTTTTACCGAGTGAAATAGCAAAGTGAGATCATTAAGTAATTTAACTTTATCAACAAGTTTAGATTCGAACAGTTTATTAACTTTTTGCACTTCCATTAGAATAGGTTATAAAAAGAGAATGAATGACAAATTATTTTCATCACTGTACATTCCAAATAGTATTTCAGCTGTGTAGCACTTTTCACTTTGTCTTGTTATTTCAAAGTGTGTCTTCAACTTCAGCCATTGCTTCATAATTCTTTCAACCGCTGGTTAAATTGATAACCATCTAGTTTTGCAATCTGACAGAATTTTCAGTGGTGTGGAACCATCATTCAAGGCTGTATATAATGTATTGTATTGCTGTTGTCTGACAAATAATTTGGAAAACCAGTAAAGTGTTTCAGCAATAAGGTATTCCAAATTCCTTGGTAAATATTTAGATGAAGCATGTGATAATGCTAGCTGCAATGAATGACGCATACATTTTATAAGTATTAACGAGTGGTTAGCTTCCTTCAACTTGGCATAAACGCCATTGTTTATACCAACCATCAGTGAGGCATTATCAGTACCAATTACAGCCAAATTCTTCAAGCCTAACTGTTTGCTGATTAAAAGGTCCTTTAGTTCCTAAACTATACTTTCTACATCACTCTTTTCAAATTGAACTAGTCCAAGAATTTTTACAAATCGATCCAATGTTCACAGTTTGAAATTGCGCAGTGACAAATTAAAAACATTGCGACTGATACTTCTACTTTTGATGATTCATTTATCAGTATAGTTCTGAAAACAGTTGTCAGCGGTGTAATACCTTTAAATGAAACTGCAGTTTTATGCTTTTTTAGTCTCTGCATGACTCTTTGAGTTTTTTATTTTCGCTTTAATTTCACACTTGCAGTACTTACAACAAGCTTTGGTCATATCCCTAGTTTTTAATTTTGTCATCATGCAACCACTCTTTCCAAATTTTTTGCTCATACTTTACTTTTGGCATGTTGAAAGGTTTTTTCAAAGTGAAAGCCACATAAGAAGGTGAGCAATTTTTTTTAAATCACATGAAAAAGAAACGCAAAGTCAGCACAGTGATGATACGGTTGAAATAAAGTCAGTATGATTTACGCGCGTTTTTATTAATCAGTACAGGGGCTGCCAGATATTTGTGCGTTGACCCCAGTGAGAGTTCAAAGTTCAAGTAATAGCAGTTATTACAATGTACGTGCCAGACCAAAACAAAAATATTGTAGT